AGAACATCACCATCAATAAAAGGCATGATGCAAAAAAAAGATTCCGGAATTTTGAAAACCTGGAGCTGCAGAAGAAAGCTCCCTGAAAAAACAACTCAGCATGGCAGCATGTGTACTTCCTGTGTCTTTTGTCCTCAGTATCCATCATGCAGTGTGACAAAATAATTATTTTATTAGCAGTCAGTAGATTCTACTTTTTGAAAACAGTAATTTTGAAAAATGGTAATACATTGTATTTTTTTCATTTTTTAAATTTTTAGTTTGTCAACTATTACAGTATTTTAATGCATATTTAAAACGCAACTGACTGAAAATACTCGACCTAAATTTTAGAATGTTGAATGTCAGACTAAAATTATAATTTTTTTAAAAGATAATTCTAAATATCCTATTGTATGACGTTGTTACAAAAATAAGTTTTTTTTTTTTTTTTCTAAGTTGTGCTATGCTAGTTAATCGGACTATTATTATGCAATGTTACAATAACATAGTGAATAGACTATGCACAAACTTGCAGAGATCCATTAAAAAAAACCTTGCCCTATCTTTTGGGGGCCCGTTACTGAAAACTCAAGATTTTTTTTTGCCTAAGCGTTGTTAATGATGAGTGATACGGAGCGATTTTAAATTCAGCGTTTACGTCTGATTTGTTCATTTTATGTTGCGTCATTTTATGTTATTTTCGACTTTTTCTTGAAACACAATCACTTTGTTTGTGTATATCTTGCATAGATTTTGTTAGATTTGTTCATTTAGCTCTATTTACATTTATCCACTGTAAGAGTCATTCAATAACCTTTTCAATAATCATGATAGCATCACCAAGCTCTATGGAGACAGCAAAGCTATTGTGACCGCCAGGTCGCTTGTTTTAATAAGGGTTCATTTGATTTGATAACCTTTATTTCATCTACTTTCCCCCTAAATGGTCAAAGTTTCTGGGCACAACCTATATTCACACTTTACCTTAGAAGGTCTTCTTACTACACTACTCGTACAGATGCTAACTACACATAATGATGACTCCATCTACGCAGCACCATTGGTTTTTCCTATGACAATATGTCAATTCAAGACTACCGGTAACAGGAAAATAAAAAAACAAAAGCAGCTAAAAGTTTCTACTCTCATATCCAAATTCCGGATGAGCATCTACGTCATTGACGTTCTGGTTAATGATTTAAATGCGCCCATGTTTATATTTGCGTAATTATTACGAATGCAACGCATTATCGAGTCAGTAATATTGAAATATTCACAGACCCAATAGTAATTATCATGAAGTTGAAATATTCAGAGCTGGTACAATATTTAAACAAATTTGCGTAATTAGAAAAGCAGTGCACTAAGTAAACGACGTTGATATATTCAAAGCCAGTGCAGAGTTGCATACAAGTTGCGTAATTACAGTACTGTCGGATATAATAACAATTTTACTAGATCGACGCGCGGGCCGCAAAAGAAAAAGGTTGCTAAGGTAACGTGCCAGTTCAGCGCGTGACTTGGGGTCAAACTTCAGTCAATGCACACTTGATGCCAGCATCGCCGCGCAGCAAGTTTCGCAAAGAAGTACTTCAAGTTCAATTGTGTCCCAAAATGATGTCGCTAATCACTCAGTTGTCACAGCATGTGTTGTGTCATGTCCATGATGCACCCCGTTTCGACTTTGACTTGCTTTTCCTTCTTAGTGCATGTTCTTGTTCACGTAAAATGCGACCTCTCACCAATGTATTAAAACACTTCGAATCTATACTTTGCATGATTATATTTGGTCAACGCGAAACATTATTTTTTCTAGACCATTTTTATCAATGCAGGGTTATTTTTCCAGACAAGATGGGGCTCGTGATATCGCCCGGGCGATCTTTTGGTCCACATTTTTCTAAAAAAAAATTGAATCCTCCATAAGATGGCCCAGGGCGGGGTATCAGCCGAATCCGGTAACACTCTGGATATACCCTAGGCTTTAATAATTTGCACTTTACCTAACAGGCTTAAATTTCTCCTTTTCCAAAATTTAATTGATGATTATAGAGATTCTAATGGGGAAGTCCAATTCACCCTGGATGTCATTTTTTTATCGTACGAAATGTAGATTCCCAAAATTTTAATGGGAGTGTTAGGCCAACTAAGATGTAGGGGTTTATCTTTTCTATGTTTCCATTTACCCAACCACATAGCCTCACTTTTCAATTTATTTACTGCTAAACCTGAGATTATCCGAAAGTGTTTAAGTTTCTCAAAAAGGCGATGACAGGATGGTACATCCCTTCTGAATCTCATAGTCAATGTTCTTAAAAATTGTCATCACCCCCCTAGCTGTTGATGAACCATGATTGAACACCAAATTTCCCCGAAATTGACTCTGCCATTTACTTTCACACTCAGCTGTGCTATGGGTTTCTTGCAACATTATGATATTACTGCCCTGTTTAGCAAGCCAATTAAAAACTTGCTTACGCTTCCTGAATTTGCCAATTCCCCTAACATTCAAAGTCAAAATTGTAATTTCTGACTGCTGCATAACTGTTGTATTTATATGCACATTTGGGCTCAGTTTTTTGAGAAACTAACAAAATAAAAAACGAAACAACAAGAAAATAGAAAAAACCCATACCCATTTCCCGGCAGGCTCTCTCCCAATCCTTCCCCCATGCCTCACGGCCTACAACACAACGAACGTGCCAGCCCAAAATAACTAAACTCAAGTCTGCCATCACCGATACACACGAACGCTACAGCCATCCCTAACCTTATAGATCTAAGAATTCACCCTCCCCAATTTTCCCCAGTGTCATAATTGTCCCGATGTTCACAGTGAGTCAGTTTTGTCTTCTATCCACTCGCCGCTATCACATGGTTTTCCATCAATGTAGAGTCGCCTGTTCTGAAATCTTGGTCTTCTGCCTTCCCGCCATATTTTTTGCATAGTTGGAATCATGCTTCGCTTTCTTCTGTAGTCTTCGTCACAGAGATCTTCTTTAACGTATATTTCAGTTCCGTTCAGTATTTTCCTTGATGTGGACAACACAGCCCATCTGTCCGGACAGTAGATAAATCTTGCAATTATGGCCCGAGTGCGATTACTTTTCGGGGGGCCCCCGGGGATTCGATGTGCATTTTCCACGGTCTTGGGATCTATACCAAATTTTTCACTCACCATTTCCCTCACAGTGCTCAGAGCATTTTCTTTTTCTTTCTCCTTGATTCCATAAAATCTCAGATTGAAACTTCTGGAATGCCTTTCATTTCTAAGACTTGATTCTTTTGTACGTTTATTTTCAGTTTCTAGCTCGTGGATCTTTTTTTTCAGGTGGTCAATTTCCTGGGTGTTTTCTCGTCCGATGTTCGCATTGTATTCTACCGTTTCCTCCAATTCACTGCACTTCTTCTCCACCTCTCCCATTCTTATTAAAATTCCTGCTATATCCCTGAAACCTGCCTCTGTGCTTTGTTTTAGATCAGTGATCAGTTTAGTGATAGTCTTCAGAGCCTGAATAGCTTGAGACTTCATCATTTTCGAACCCCGATTCTTCGCCATCCCCCTTTTTGGCCTCCTTTGCGCTTGTCTTCGACGCCATGTAGGCTTCCATAAGTTTCTTTTCCTTAGTTTCTTTTTCCTTCTGTTTTTTCACGTTTTCCTTTGTATTCCTTGATGACATTTTGTCAGCGTGTTCTCTGTACCTTTACACTTCTATCTCATGTGTTTCCAGTGGAGGGCGTCTTCTATTCCTTCAGAAACTTTTTAACAAAGTGGGGCCGATGTAGCGTGGTTGCTCACCCAAACATGGTCACCCCCAGGGTGTTAGTTAACTATAACTGCCTATGACTATAATTATAATTATAATAAATAAATTATTATGGAAATAAAATACTACAGACATGTTGTCATTCTTTTATGTTTATTTATTTTTAAATCACACAACTCACTTTGAAATGGAACCACAAGTCACAGTCAATCTCACATTTTAATCAGGATTAATGTTATTGTCAGATGACAAATGTCTAGAGACATGTTTTATCACGCTATTTGTCCCATTCACATAAATCATTAGGTCGTTTTTGGCTTGACCTTTGATGATTACTCTGCATATATTTGGCACAGAGGTTGCACCATACTTCGACTACAAGTGTTTGACCCTCATCCGTTTCCACATGACGATATCCAATATCTCCATCAGTGTTCCATTTTAGGAATGTTGCCAAACGCACGCTAGAACCCTTCGTAGGATAATCAATCATCACTTGACATCATGAAAATATCCATGGTAACCAGAGTATTTAGCATCGCCGGTTCCAGTCGTCCGACATATTTTTCAATGCAAAAAATTAATGAATCACGATCCAATTACAACAAATTTTCAATTTATCGGTGATATTAAGGAAATTCAGAAATACTTACTTACTTAATATTAGTATTAACTCGTGAAAAACGTGCGAAAATCTGACTCTATTCCATGTAAAATCTTGATCCGATCGCTAAAGCTGTATTCTCCCAACCTTGTGACATCACATTGACTACTAGTATGTTACCCATGCTCTAATTGGTTACAAATTAAATACTGAGCTTTTACCTGCTAATAGAATTTGGTGTTGCTACGTTTGATGTCAACAGTTGTCCTTTAGTGACAACGCATCATGAACTCCCCTTGAACTCTTGTACATAAGGGAATTAATTTAAATTTTTGGAGATAAACTAAACACATTTATTTTGTAATATTAATAAAAATTGTTCTCTTTTTGGAGGATGTCATGGCCCTGAAAAGGGCTGTTTGATTTTGTTGATTCACTTGCCTTCTCAATTGTCGTCATCCCCCTGGTTGATTGTGTGTTAATTGCCTAGGCGAGCGTTTTTTAGCTCGCCTCGTGGGCTTTGCTCGCCATAGACGGCAAGGACTGAATACTGTATGTAAAATTGATAGATTGATTGATTTTATGCATGTTTCCTATCTTTGAAGACGACATAACGAGTACATTGTGTATATTTGATTGTGTATTAGGTTGCTGCAGAAATAGCTGCACCATTGGCACAAGTCAAGAAAGTGACCATGGTATCTTCAGGTAAAGGAGAAGTTGGAGCTGCTAAGCTTACCAATGAAATCATGGATATCATGGATAGGTTACCGAAAGTTATCGACGGCATGACAGGGGTGAATATTGCCAAGGTCAGTACTTGTAAAAAAATATAATTATCTTTCTTCCAATACTTTTAGTGCAGTATATTATTTGACATCTATTAGTAAATGTCTATGAATTAAAGCATGCCACAAATTGCAGTATTGATGAGAGGTACAGCTGAATAGAGGCATGTGTTGGACATAATGTATAAGGCCACGCTTAAATCTATTGCAACTGTGACATAAAAATCAAGATTAAATATCATTGCTCATGGCATGTATGAAATAATGACTGTATAAATAATGCAACTATGAAATAACTTGTTTTGTTTTATTTTGTTACTAGGCGATGAAACACTCCAACCGTGTGTAGTGCCAAATAAAGCTAGTTGTACATCATCACTTCTACTGTACTTACTAGGAGACGCAGCAAATCTTCACCCATATCTATGTTGTATAGTATATTCTGTTTATATATTATATTATACAGTGCAATTCTTTAGTAGCATGATACTATGTTTTCACAATGAAATAAAGTGTTATTTTGATGGTTAGTCATTAGATAGAATTTACGTCTTTGTAGCTGTGGGTTCAAAAAATCAAAAAATTTTCATCCTGCTTGTCCCACAGCCACACATTGCTTTTTATTGCCCACTGTGGGTTCTGAACAGCACATGGCTGTTAAAATATGTTCCAAGTGATGGTCTTCAGCATTACTGGTTAACTATTGCATTCAGTCATCCTGGATTTGTTGAATTCCTGTTCCAAAAGAACAGTCACAACTATTTTAAGCACTTAAAGTCATTCATAAACAATAGTTTCTGTAGATATATGTACGTTGTAGCTGGCACTGTTATTGCAAAACAGTGCATTGTGGGTTATTATGTTGAAATGCAATATGGAAGTGACCATGTTATTTGAACTTTATCTAATGGTGATCATCACAGATAGCAAAATTTAATTTTTTAATGTCTGCATTATTTTTTATTATGTTATTTACCATAACTTGTACCTCATTTAAACAAGTTTTTTTTTAATCTTTAGCTATTTCTATTTCTAGATTATTATTATTTGTCAAATAAAACCAACCCCATACATGTGTTAAATACTTCATTTAGACCATGTTATTTAACTTGTGAAGACAATGTATATACATCCTGTCATTTATTTTTTCATCACATAACTCTTAACTTGATACATGCATTTTCCAAGCAAAATATTATAAATCAGTGATATTGGTCTTGGTGGCAAGTATTTAATATTGTTTATTGTTGATTCGTATTTGTAGTTCTAACCCACATGATAAATTTTGAGAGTCAGTAAAATCATGATGTTCTGTATCAGTGAACATTTAACTGATTTAGTCAAATTTGTCAGTGTGAATGTCATCGTAATGTTGGGTTTTTGATCTCAAAAATATTTTCAGAAATCATTACTGAGGGACCAAATGTATAGACTAACATGCTAGACTTGATTGTTATCTGCTTGGAAGTTAGAACTGCAAATGAACAGCAGCCAGGATTTCACATGGTGACACATGCTTTGCAAATAACCCAGCAATGTGTACAGGCGTTTTAGAGATCATATTGTTTGCAGCTGAGAATACTAAATCATCATGTTAGCTTTCTTTCATTTTGCATCACAAGTTTTGTTTTTTTGCATGTGAATATAGAATTATTGCATATATTTGCGTAGTTTCAAGTGATTACTTCTGACTAATAATACACGAGAGTTAATTAGATGTAATAATTTGATGTTTAGCTTTGTACTGACTGTTGTAATCGTAACATGCTAGAGTTATGTTTATGTGGTTCCTGAACATGTTTTCTATATGATACGTTTGTTCATGTAGTTAATTCAAATTCACAAAATGCATGTAATTATATAACTGCTACATACCTCATAATCTATTCAAATGAAATGACAGTACCCTGCTGTGTTATTAGTTTCTTCTTTCATTGCACAAGTGCTCTTTGGAGTATGAATGCTGGGTTGTGGTAATCATGGATCAGGGTAAATATTTATGGTAGGGAGAGTATAAGTATTTTAAAATAGATATCAATCAATCTCTGGGACTGCACCCACCATCTACAATGAATATTAATCAGTCTTCTGTCCTCATTATAATTTTAATCTGCTGTGCGATGAGGCTTATGACAAGATGCCATTGATGTCATTTTAAAGATTGTTTCTGGGTGGTATTCTGTCATTCACAATACCCCCTTTCTAAATGTTTTCCCATTCATATACTTAAACAATTATTCTATTTTCTAAATTTCCGAATACACAATCAGAAATGGGTAATATATCTTTCATAAATACTATATTTACTATTATGTTCTTTCAAGTTTGTTTAATCTTTCTCTGGAAGATGACATCGCCAGCTGACCACATACACCATTCATATTGGCTATCCATAGAGACTTTCCACAGGAATGTGTTGAATTGCACTAACAATGCAAAGCATTCTGTGCTGTTTCAGCAGCATTCTTTTGGCAAGTAGAAGACTTTCTGTATAGTACGCTAATGTATCAAGTCTATTCAGGTCTAGATGCCTTTGGTGAAGCAGCTTACATGTTTATTCCCCAGTCAAATGATTATATATTTGCAATTTCTACTTTTGAAGACTCAAATCCATAATTCTTCTATGTTTGATTCCAACATGCGAGAAGTACATTACCCTATATGCATGTAAAATACACCAAGATCAGAATATCTGGATGCATATAGAGTACCCGTTGTGTTTATATAGTTACCCTATTTTTATTTGTAAATTAAACACGTGTAGTAGCATTCTAATATATTTGTGCCAGTGTACAAATACAGTATTTGCTCACTTAGAAGCACAACTGGTTTGTTTCAGTGATAATGCAAAATTGTCTTTTGTTTCAACTGAGAATGTGTGCTTCTAATGGAAGGAATACTTTATTGAATCACAACCCAATGTGTTTATTATTCTGAATATTATGAATTCTAAAGTATTGTATTTCTACTGTAAGATGTTAGTTGTCTAACAAATCAAAATAAATTTGTACATGTATTATCGAATGAGTGTATTGCTCATTTTTAACTTGTGCAAAGAGGTAAAAAATGCTGGATTGAAAAAGAAACAAGGGAAGATGGACCTTTAAGCTACATCTCTATTACAAACTACTAGTGGATTGCTGTGGCACACTGTTTATATCACAATTTCACTATATTAAAATCATATTCAGCTGATTGCTCAAAATGACTGATAAAGTGTTAATTTGTACTCCTTGTCAACCATGTCATCCAGTTGCTCTTCAATATATGAAACTGGTAATGAATAAGTTGTATCGCGAGAATCAGAAACCTATAGGCTTTCAAAATGTTTATTATGAGAATATTGATGAAACTGGTACACAATCTGCTGGTTTGGTTGCCGGACATCAATATACAACCCAACAATACCCAATTTTGAGACTGTTATACCATTGCAAACAATTGCTGGTAGGAATTGCCCCACTCGCATGTCAGAATTGGATGAATGATAGACAGGTATTGCAGAACTTTAGAAGATGATGGTTGCATGGAAACACTTTCAAGCTGGCTAAGTCGGTGCCACAGACTCAATGGGAAGGCCAATTCCACTCGCCGAGATTCATTCACTAACGAATGCGACTTTGCATGTTAGGTCAGCAAAATGGTGCTACCATTATGAAAGTAGATGGTACTACCTGCTTCTGTTCCTACTACCAGGAGTATGACACAATCTGGAAACTGTTGAACAAATTGCGCGTCGTCCAGTTTAAGACGGAAGTTAATTTATTATTTATTCATTCTGTTTTGCATGGTGGAGTTTTGTGAGGTTTATTATTTTTTCGCGACGTTCTTTGTTATGGTTTGAGGAATTTCAGTTTATTTGATTTACGGTATCTCTGAGCGGGACTCGAACCCACTGTCTTTTCAAGCTAATTTTGTTTTATTTCGATGGCACGCTTGCGTACCACGCCACGACGTTAGTTGTTGAGTGGTGTTTATTTTTTTAACTACTCCAGTGTTCCGAAGAGTTGAACGGGAAAGCCAAAACGATTGCTGGTTTCTGATTGCTTCGGTTCGGTGAGTGTGTGTATCTAGTGTGATTCGAACCCATGTCGTTTGTATTGGGCGTTTTTTATTTCCCATGTTGGCTACTCCGTAATATGCAACCACTTCCCCGTTTTATTGTGATTTTGAGATTGTTTAATGATGTCTTTCTTCACCCGTCACGCCATGACCCAGTTTCAACCACGCGGCCATTTTGCAACGAAGTGCGTGACCTTTGATGTGACCCGACTGACTATAGAATAGAATAGAATAATGCTTTATTAATACCGTAAAGAAAGAGTTAACATTTCCTTTTAGATTTTCAGATTAATAAAGTAAATAATAAAAGTACGTGAAATATAAAAATTGATTTAAAAAGAATTCAACATTAGTGAACGACAAGAATACTACAGACAAATATTAATAATATAAGAAATATTAAAATACTGTGA